GCGCTTTCCTGGAGCCCTCCAAGGTGATGAACTCGTCGTAGTCGGGTTGGCCCTTCATGTTGTTGATCACCGTTTTCCACGTGATGTGGTAGTCCCTCACGCTGTGAACTATCAATTTCTCAAATCTGTCCGTCACCGAGGCAACAAGCTGCCGTTGGACTTTATAGGCCTCCAGGTACGACACAGTTTTTGGCTTCCCTCTGGTTTTGTCCAGCTGCTGGATGAGGGCGTTGAAGCAGACCTCGGTGTTGACGTTGGAGCGCGCCGACGTCTCAATCAGCAGCAGGTTCTTCTTGCCGGCGACGAAGGCCTGCAGGTCCCTCAGGTGCTGGTCCACGCACTCGTCACACTTGGTGGCGGCGACCACGATGGGCTTCTTCGACTTGACGATTTGGGAATAGAGGCTGTTGACAAACTTCATTTGGTCGTCAAACTTCCTGTTGCAACCCTTGCTGACGTCAATGCAGAGCACAAAACCGTCGATGTTCAGCTTCCCGTCGGGCATCTGCTTCTGGTCGAAGTCCTGCTCCAGGCCCAGCTGGTCCGTGCAGATGTACATGAGCTTCTCCGCCGACTGGAGCTTGGTGGCCGCCGCCCGCTTGGTGTACGGCTGCAGGTTCGTACTCCGATGAGGAAGAAAAGTCTGGTCATCGATGAACTCCGTCTGTTCGATGACCTGTATCTTACAGTCCAGCCCGTCGTCCCCTCGATGGGACACCTCCCCCCAATACAGGAAGTGGTCATTGTTAACCACGCGCCCCCCAAAGTCTATGGTGCTCAGCACAGAGGTGTGCTCTGAGTAGTAACCGTCCGCATTGGGCCGGATGTACCGGTTGCACAGGCAGGACTTGCCCACGCCGCAATTTCCCTTCTCCTTCTCCGTCCCCGAGAGGCCGACCACGCTGACGGCGAATGACGGGGGCCGCGCATCCTTGTTCCTGGCCATTATATCCCCCCACTCATCGCTAGCTTGGTCACTTCCAGTAAAAAGGGTCAAGTTATCATTCCAGTTCCGCTCATCAGTGTTACTGTAGTGGTAACCCCCTCCTCCCCCCCACACCAATTCAACTGTCTCTCTCAGCTTCTATCCTGCCTCTTCTTTAAGCTGGGATCGAACCGCCGGCTTCTCCGTCTATCACCTGCCTGCAAGACATGGAATGTACAATTAGGAGGAGATAACAGGCAGCACAAACAAAAACATGTTGGCACTGATACTTCTGTCTCCTTATCATGCATAATATAATAAGCTTCATACTTTGCAGCATACCCCCCCCGGGACATAACTGTACATGTGAGCACGCTTTGTGAATTTAAAACAACAAACCCACGTGTTAATCAGGCATCAAACAGTTATCAGGAAATTACACAAAGGTGCACATTATCACACTTGAGCAGGACCAAATAATCCCTCTTCAAACGGTAACAGTTTAATAAAAGGTTTTTAATTTGCCTTTTTATTTATTAGAAGAAGCGCAGGTCTTAGAACACTAAGCATGATAAGTGGGACATTTTTAAATGCAATGATTGTTAAAAAACGGCAACTTTTGAAAAGGAAAAGAATTGTGACCATACGACGTATGTACGAGGAAAAAAGGGAGAGTAACTCAATCATTGTCACAGAGGAAAAGAAGCTCTTTCAACCAATTTGTGCCGAGGAGGCAAGACAAAAATGGCATGCGACTGCGTCCCTTTGACGGCCACTGACCTAGAAATGATTTGCTCCGCTGTGAGAACGAAACAAGAGAAAATAAATCAGTTCACGGATCCGCCATCATCGGCACGACCCGCGGCTACGTGATTAGGGCTAAACGTGTAATCCCGATTACTCGGGCCGCCGCTCTCCCGATGCATTCTGCACCAAACTCTGCGCCCGATTATTAATCCTAATTGGCAGTTTTTTTGTTATCTGAGGAATTGAATCAGGACGCTTATTCAACACTAACAACAGGTTGACTTTAAGTGTTTCCCTGTTGACACTATTCAGCGATAACGTGCACAAACTCAAGCGCTGGGACCTGATGCCCTGTGCAGCCTTTTGAATCGTATCGCCAGTCAAATGAGGCCGGCGAGCGACGGCTGCAGACTCAAGTGCAGTCGTTGGCGTTTACAGCCGATGCCATTCAGCCAGACATTTTGCCTGCGTGAGCTGCGCCGGAGGAGCTGCACCAGCCGACTGTTTGCCAAAGGCCCGAGGCGATGACGTCACCTGTGAGGGGGCGGATTCGTACGAGGAAGTGAGACTATTGTGAGTGGAGCGGCTCTACGGCGGCGTAAAAGAAATGTGAGAGTCCGCGAGGAGGAGGACACGCGGATCACACTCACTGAATTCAATTATCCAAAAGGTGTTCAAACCGCCCCATTCGTGAGCTGCACAGTTGAGAAATCTGGGAAATTACCGTGAGGAAACGTTGAGTCAGCTCATCTATAATTCGGATAAAGTCACACAGCACAGCGACCAGCAGGTCCGTCGGGTTCTCACAAACACAACGGATCCCGTGAACCACACCTGACTGAAGCAGCAAGCCGGGGGGGGGGGGGGGGGCAAAGTTCACCTGGCTGGTGTGCAGGTGAGGCTCGAGGCATTTCCTGTTGTCCTTGTTCACCGATGTGGTCCAAGTCCAAAGCGAAAGCTTTATTTAACAACTGTTCTTCAAAACAATCCTGAATACTGTTGCTTCTGATATCAAAGTGCATTCTTCCCTCGGTTACCAAGGAGCATGTAAAACCACGTATTGGCAAATAGACGAGGGCCATCAATCACACGCGCTGAGACCTATTAACGTGGTGCTGATCGACTAAACAACCGATTATTGCAACATTCCTCCTCCCACCCGAGCCAAACATCTGTTTTGCATTTCTGTGGGCCGGCGTCCAAGTCCACCGCTCCCCCTCAGCACAGAGGGTCGATGCAAGACTGTGGAATAAATCTTCACCTGGGGAGGGGGGGTTAAGGTATCACTTGGCGAGCTGCTTTTAGAGAGGACTAAACGCTCTTAAGCCTGAAACACAACAGAAGGACCCCGCGGCGCTCGGGGGGGGGGGCAATGTGATGTGTGGGACACGCCGTCCTCCCCCCAGGAAGAGACGAGTCCGGACTTAAGCAGAGAGAAAAGTGTCTTCCAACCCTTCAAACAAGATTTATCAGGCCTCACTTTTAATGATTCATTGGCGTAGTCGCCGCGTCACTTCCTGTTGCGTAACGTGGTTTTAAATGTCAGCGCCGCCGCCAACGGGGCGCAACAATACAAGCTTCTGTAAATGTCAGGAAGTATCCACAGATCTTCAGACGTCGTCGTGTGGAATATGCAGCGTGCTGAAGTTAGCAGATATCTTCTTTATGTAAACTCACCAACTTCTCGGCTAAACTGCTTCGGCGCTGCGATTTGAATCGAGACGACTTTATAATCAAAACTTTGTAAAAAGCGCCCGGCTGGTGCCCCCCCCCCCGCCCGCGTCCAGGTTCAGGTCCGGGCCTGAAGGGAGTCGCACCTGAGGAATGATGATGTAAGGAGCCGTTTACAGGCCCGCTGGACCCGACCAGACCCTCAGAACCAGAATCCCGTCACACGTTCAGCACCAACGAGACAAAAGGCCTTTTTTTTTACACAGAATTCACTCAGATAGACGGAAAAGCTGCTCGCCGAGACGACAAGAAAATACACGCTGAACATTCCCGCGCACATGATGTCAGTGTGACGCGACGACGCGTTACAGCAGCAGCTCCAGACAACACGCCCCCCCCCCCCTCCCGTACCCCTCCTGACCCCCCTCCCGGGACAGCGGATAAGGAAACAGCAGCCCGGAAGGGGAACAGACCTCGACACACCTGCCTGGGACGATGGAGGAGAACAGAATGACGACACGAACAACGTCACGCCTTCATCAATCAGTGCGTTACACTGTGGGGGGGTCCGCGTCAACGGCCCCCCGAGCCCTTCCCCCGGTTTAATGAGCCGTCACTTGGCGTCACTACTGCCAGTTCCAGAGGGACTCACGTCCCGTTTAATGAGGCGGCGCGCTGAAGAGAGCCTGCTTTTCCCCCAAAGTCTTGTCCCGTTGGATCCCTTTGGATCCCGTGAGAGGGGGGGGGGGTGTCATCTTAACGGGTCAAACTACTGAAGATGCGCGGGGGGGGCGGCGGACTACCGGGGGACATCAGTGAGTTGTGTCGCGGTAAATGAGTTAGTTACGGTTTGAGTTACAACGACAGACGTCTCCGTTAATGCGTCGATGCACCGCAGCAAACACTCGCAGCCTCGATACGGCGGTCACCCCCCCTCCCTCCCTCCCTCCCTCCCCCTCCCCGGGGGACGGTGCGTGAACCCGGCCCGGGTTCGGCCCTGCTGCTCCACAGGACGGAAGAAAAAAAAAAAAAAAATCCCACCTTTCCCAAATCCCGATGAGCTAGCGTTAGCCTAGCCGCGGTAGCATCGCGGCTAGGCTAACGCTAGCAACAGCGAACCCAGCGGGAGAAAAGCGGTTAAAAGAACCAGCGGCAGCTCGCTGGTCCGTTTAAAAACGCAACGCTCGTTAGCAGCGCGTCGCCCGCTTCAGGGGCCGCGGTTCGCCCAACGGGGGGGAAACGAGTGTCGGCAAAAAGAGAAGCGAATGGAAGTCCGGGTCCCAGATGCGTTCCCCTGCCCACCTCGTAACATGGTCGCTCCCGGATCCACATACCACGGGAAGAGAGCAGGACGCGTCCCCGCGCTACCGGCCAGGCGGAGAAACCGTCCCGCGTCGACATCCACGATCCGCCTCCGCCAGAGAGCGAGGTGGTTCCCGGCTCGGGTTCCGCTGCCCGGGGAGTCCTGCGCGGCTCCGGGCGGCCGGTGAGTTGGAGAGTCGGTCGGAGAGGTATGCGATGTAAGCCGAAACCTGCTCCTCTCCCCCGCTGCCCTCCCTCCTCCTCTCCGCGGAGACAGCAATGGCGACTCCCTCCCTCCCTCTCTCCCCCTCCCTCTCTCACTCTCTCTCTCTCTCTCTCTCTCTCTCTCTCTCTCTCTCTCTCTCTCCCCCCCGCTCCCCCTTTCCTCACTTAGACACAAATAACTTAAAATATCCACAATAAACACACATTCCTGGTAATAAAAGTGCTCATTGTTAAAAGCTGAGTCACGTTAAACCACCAAGAGGTTTCGGGGCAAAGGAGGAACTTCTATTACTTATTTATTACAGTTGTTAGTGGGTCAACTTTATTATTATTTATTCACTTATGATCCGATGTCCTGCGGCTGATATTTATTCACTAGTGTTTTTGTGTGTTTTATTGGTGCATGAAGAATTATGGAGCAAAAACATAACATAGCATAACACATATATATATATATATATATATATATATATATATATATGCATGTATAAAAATTGAAATTAGATCGACTGTTTTGTTTGTCATCAGGCTTTTATAATAATCCTGATATATAACAGGAAGCATCCAGTAATATTTACGACCCACATGTGTATCAACATGCATGAACACTGCGTAACGTTTCCATCTGCTGTGTTTCCTCGTTGTATAAACGCCTCTCTCTCTCTCGTCCTGTTATTAACCGCGTCACTTTGTGTCTCTTGTCTCTTTTTTAATCATCTTCTGTAAATATGGAGGTGACATGAGAGATAATGACAGAACATCTACATGGAAACTGCTCGACAGAGAGTTCAGGTTCCGTTTGTCATCATTACTTCCTACTTTTGTGTAATCAGTTTGTCAGGTGATCAGAAGATGAACTCATTGGTTTCTCACAGGGTTCATAATGATATGATATCATATATAATGAATAAATAAACCACAACAACATTGCAGTCTTAAATCTGGAGCGTAATGAGGAGAAAGTGTTCGATTGGGACAAAGGAATCCTTCGTGAGAATCCTTCATTTATATTTCAGTTGTTCTGGGTTTTGGGATCAATGCGGGCTGCTGGGGGAGTTCTTCCCCCCCCCCTCCTCCTCCCCCCCGTCTCCCCCCTGTGCGGCGCTGCTTTAATGAGCCTCAGAGCTCCGGGCGAGAGAGAACAGACCCGATGAATGAAACAAACACGCGACCCCTGAAGCCGAAAAACCTCAGAACCTCAAAACGATGACGCGTTAAATTCCTTTGAGAAGAAGATGCTCTCCGTCCAGAAGAGGCAAAGTCTGCAGAGCACCACAATTAATGTGTGTGTGTGTGTGTTTGAGGAGGCAGTGGCCGCCACTGGTGCAGGCGCTGCACCTCCTGCACCATCAGCACCTCCTGCACCATCAGCACCACCTGCACCATCAGCACCATCAGCATCTCCTGCACCACCTGCACCATCAGCATCTCCTGCACCATCAGCACCTCCTGCACCATCAGCACCATCTGATGACCATCTGAAGGGAGTTTGTATTTTCTCAGCGTGCATCCGACTCTTTCGGTTCTCTCGGCGCCTCAGAGATTTTTGGGCTGCAAACGGGAGGATGTGGAAGTTGGACGAGAGCAGCTGCAGCACGACCCCTTGATCGCCCGGCCGGCTCCCTCTCTCTCTCTCTGAGGAGGATGCGTGGCATCAGGTAACCGTGTTCTTTACTCATTAGCTGGAAGCACAGGAGGAACCGGTTCCTGTGGTCATTCAGAGCAGTAAACTCCTCTCAGCAGGTACGATGGCAGCGGACGAAGTGGAGACACGTGGAGGAAGGTGAGACGTTAACGTCCAGATGCAGCTGACCGCTCGTTAAACGTCATGTCATGTGTCCCACAGAGCAGCGCTTCATGTTAGCGACGCTAATTCATATTTTTTTAGAGTCACGTGTGAAACTTCCCCCTGTCGAATATGAAAGACGACACTTTTTGGATCTTGTTTTCTGAGAGTCTGCATATGCAAATGAGGCAGATTATTATTGTGTTAACCTTTTTATCTGTTGTATTTCATTGATCTGCTTCTCTGTGTGAAAGTTATTGGAAACTTGCCAGATGAATGTTGTTTTGGGGAATATTATCGATCATTGGAACTAAATGTCGTCATTAATTTCTTTCTACACACTTTTATTTGTTTATTCATTCCCTTATTTGAAAAAAAACTCTTCTATTCTAAACTCAAGTCTATTTATAAATATGTGAATGCTAATTATGGTCTTCAATTCGTTGTTGGAATTTTCCTGCAGTTTGAGTGTGTTTGTAATTTATTATCATTACTCTATATATAATATGTCATTTCCAGAACACAGGACCAGGAACATCTGGAGGAGGATTCCCATGTCCCAAATGTTAAGATCTTCCAGTCTCGTGGGTCTGCAGACGTCTGCTGACACGGCCGTGTTCTAAAGAAACACCCGACTGGTTCCACAGGGAGACATGAAGACGTATCCGCTGCCTCCCACCTGAACTCCTCGTGGAGCTCCCACCAGTAGAACCCTTCCAAACGCCATGGAGGACAGAGCGAGGCTCTTCAGGCTCCTGTCCTCCTCCCTCGCAGACATCATTCAGCCAACCACCTCCAGGGGATCAACCAACACATTTCTTCAGGAGCTGGAAAATCTCCTCAAAACCCAAACTGAAAGCAAGCCCCGAGGGGGGGGGAGACATCAGATGAGAGGACGTCCTGTCCTCCACTCCGGAGCGCTCATACACCCACGCTGGGTTCTGTCCCTCACCCGTCTCTGAGGGACCCGGTCAGGTTGTGTTGAGGGAGTTTACTGAAGATAAACCCGTTTTCCCTCCGGGTCGAACACCTGATGACGGAGGCGATTGCAGCACCGACCTGAGCCGGGACGCCAGCACAGCGCCCCCCAGTGTGCAGGAGCAGAACCGCGGTGGAGGGCCGACACCCGGTTCGTCTCTCACGTCCTCCTCCTGGATTCAAGGGCTGGAATCGTTGTCTCAACGCGGCGCTCTCTGTTCTAACCGCCTCCTTATTTTCATACACGTACTGGATAGTAGTATTAGTACACAGTACTCAGAGGAGCAGTATGAAGTATTATCACATTGTTCTTCCTCCATGACTCCCTGGACCCGTGTCAGCTCTGGATGAGGAGCCCCGGGTGGGTGGATGCTCCCTCTATTGTGTGTGTGTGTGTGTGTGTGTGTGTGTGTGTGTGTGTGTGTGTGCGCTCGGCTGGGCGGAGCAGGAAGCTGGTTCGTATTTATATCTGCAGCAGGACCTCGCTGTGACTCAGAGGCCTGCTGTGGTGACACTTCGTCCTCTGTTCCGTGTGCAGGCCGTTTGGAACCTACGTGAAAGTGTGCAGACGATTTGGTTTTGTGTCATTTGTTCTGTCTGTAAATGACATTTCATTTCAGTTATTGTGGATTCTTGTTTTTGATCTTGCTTCTGTTTGCATTTTGACCTCTGCTGCTGTAATCCTGTGACCTCAAATGTTAACCCCCCGCCCCCCACAGGTCAGAGCAATCTGTAACCAGAGGTCAGAGGTCAGAGTCCAGTGTTGGCTGACACGTTAAGGGGCCTTTTGGGATATTTAATTCTACTTAATATTACATCTGTGTCTCTGATTCTTGCCCCAGGAAAAAAAGGTTCACAGCAGACTTTCCATCTCTGTTAGTGAAGACTTGTTGAAACGGCACGAAGAATCTTTTAGCACCTGACTGCAGATCTGCTGCTTCCACGTTGTCGAGGCTCATTTCTGAACCCCCCCCCCCAAAAAAAAACAATTGCCCCGGTGCTTCGGGCGACTGGCCCCAGCCAGACAGAGAGCAGCAGGCAGCGGACTGAGGGAGGGCTGTAACGGAGTGTAACTCACAGGCCGATGACGTGAGAAGGTTCTCTCCCCCCCCGGGTCGCCCGTCTCATAACTCCCGCCCTCTCTGATCCAGATCCCCGCGGCCTCATGCAAAGCAGGCCGGGAGGACGCCGCCATGCTGGGAGCCACAGAGTGAAGACTCTGAGACACAAAAAAGATCCCGAAAGCCGGGAAGGTTGATGTCATCGTTCGCTTTCATCAGCCTCTGACGCCCAACAGACGATTCATCCAGCTCCTTTTTCCTGGTGAAAACAGTCATAGAAGTGGGCTGAGATCCAGTACGCAGGGCCCCGTCAAAATAAAAGCCCCTGTAACAACGCTCTCTGAATGGCCATGTGGCATGAATGTTACTTACAGAAGTTTTATTTTGAAAACCCATGTACTGAGGTGATGATAATGATACTTACACAAACAGCTACACACACACACACAGAGAGGGAGGGAGGGAGGAGAGAGGTGACAGAGGAGAGAGGGAGGAGAGAGGGAGGTAGGGAGGAGAGAGGTGACAGAGGAGAGAGGGAGGAGGGAGGAGACAGAGGAGAGAGGCAGGGAGGTGACAGAGGAGAGAGGGAGGTAGGGAGGAGAGAGGTGACAGAGGAGAGAGGGGGGAGGGAGGAGGCGTGAGTTTGCATTAAAGAGAGGAGACAGAAGGGTGAGACACACTGATGGGAAAAGAGGAGAGCGAGTAGAGGGAGGTGACAGTCGAAGAGGTGAGAGAGGAGGGAGGAGAGGGGGGAGGCAGGGAGGGTGGAGAGGAGGCATGAGTTTGCACAGTGATCAGCGGCCTCCTGAGCAAAGTCATCACGTGACTGTAGAAAGAACGTCAACAACCTGCTCATGTGATCAAACGTGTGTGTGTCTGTGTGTGTGTGTGTGTGTCTGTGTGTGTGTGTGTGTGTGTGTCTGTGTGTGTGTGTGTTTCCAGAGAAGGAAACAGCCTCACAATTGAAACAACGGTGTGTAATGAATCACTTCTCACTGCGTGTATTTCCTGTGACGAGTGACCAGCAGCTCCTTCACTCACAGCTGCATCAACAACAACAACAACAACATCTGCCTTTGATAAAAAGATCAATATCGTCTCAGTTATCTGCTCTGAGCACCGAGCGGTTTAACGTAACGTCAACTTTAACGCACTGTTACTGTCTCTCTTAAAGAAATACGCACTATACAGGATGATGTTACACACATATACAGGATGATGTTACACACACTATACAGGACGATGTTACACACACTGTACAGAACGATGTTACACACACTGTACAGGATGATGTTACACACACTGTACAGGACGATGTTACACACACTGTACAGGACGATGTTACACACACTATACAGGACGATGTTACACACACTGTACAGGATGATGTTACACACACTGTACAGAACGATGTTACACACACTGTACAGGATGATGTTACACACACTGTACAGGATGATGTTACACACACTGTACAGGACGATGTTACACACACTGTACAGGATGATCAAAAGGACGTCTTGATGTCCTGAAACTATACAATGACTGAAATAAACAAAAAGAAAGCGAGAAATAGTTGAAAAGTTCCCAAATCTCTTTTTATTTGTTTAGTTTAGCTAATTCTCTTTTCAGACTTTCCTCACTTTTACATCAGGACGAATCCTTTGTGTTTGAGCCGAATGAGGAAGTGAAAGCAGAAGCGTCAAATATAAAAAAGAAGAAGAAGAAACGTCTCACAGAGGAACCCGAGAGACGGAACAACAAAACACTGAAACGTGAAGTATGAAGACAGCCAGCGTTCTACTAAATACCCCCCCTCTGCCCCCCTGCCAATTCCTGGACCGGGACCCCACACACAATTTACTGTATTCTACTGTAAAGAATATACTTTATAGTTTTGTTGTATGCTAATGTATACAACAGTAATGTTTGGCCTAAGAATTACTTTCTGTTTCTACATCGCATTGGGGTTTCCGGTGTACTTGTTACCCCTCTCAGCACGTCACTTTCACTGTAGAACGCTGTATTGAAATGTAGATATAAGCCTATGAAAGACCAGAGCTTTAGATTTAGATCAGCAGTGTTTACATGGTACATCCCAACATTTACTATTATGAAAGAAGTGTTTGCTATTTGATGCAAATGCTTCATTCTGACACGTGTTTATGGCATTTTGAATGTAGTGTTGCATTTTGAAGGAGGTGTGAGGCATTTTATTTTGTGTGTGCAGTTTTAAGAATTGTGTGTAGAGTTTTGAAAACAGGAGACTTAGTTTTGAAAACGTGTGTAAGCAGTTGGTGAAAACTGTAAATTAACCTAATAACTAAATAACCAAAGCTACCGACATTTACAAAGTAGGAACAAAAGCTTTAAAGGTTAAAGTTTAAACATTAACCCCCAGCGTCCACAGAACAGCACGTCCTTTGTCCCCCCGTCCCCCCGTCCCCCCGTCAGGAATATCTCATATTAGTACTTTGGTTCACCTGTATCGCCATAGCAACCTCAGCCTGGTTTAATTGGAGCCTGAGGCCGGTCTGCATCCTTTCATCTCCACGAGGACACATCTCTGCTCCACACACACAGACACACACACACACACACACACACACACACACACACACACGCACACACACACACACACACACACACACACACGCACACACACACACACACAGACACACACACATGAGGAGGATGATGGAGGAACTGGATAATTGACTGCTTAATTCGTTTGTACACAATCATGCTGCTGTTCACGTAAAAAAAGGACAAAATTAAGTAAGATTCAAATGATATGAACCTAAAAATTCAAATAAAAATACATTGAAACAAGGAAAAAAATGTATTGCACAAAATAAATACGTTAAGGGACCCAGGTTCAGTTTTATCCTCATATAAACTGGATTATAAAGCTACTTAATTAAACAAATAAGTGCCAATAAAATAGAATAAATAGATAAAAACCAATACAGAAATGACAAAAATCAGAAGTAAAAAATGAACTAGTAGTAAAAAAGTAGAAATCAAAATACTATAGTATATCTCCTTTTATAGTTTCCTCGGCTGAGCTTCATCTTCTCCACAGTGTCACGTTTAAAGAGAAGCTCCACATCTAGAAGAGTAGGAAGAGCTTCTTCTGAGCATGCGCAGCGCGTTCAAAGGTCACGTGGAGCGAACGTTCCTAAAACATCGTATGTGAGGTCGACCTGTGAGAACCAATGTAATCGGTGTAACGCGATGAAAACATGAGACAAATGAATCTGTTTTATTGGCTCACACTGCCGTCTGCTGTCACACAATCTCAGCGCTGTTCGTCTGTGTCGGGGACAGCAGGTCAATGTGAGGACATGTCCCTTAGAGGCTGGGGACATGAAAAAAGACGCTCACTGATGGTCAGCAGCCTGGTGACCTTCAGCATACACAAGGTCACGTGACATCTCTATCGTAGATGTTCAAGTGGATTCAAGTACTTACAATCACACTGCACTGGTGTTATTGTGTCTTTATTATATTCACACTGATGCATGTTGGGAATATGAATCATATTTACTGGTTTAATCCCATCGGTGACGTCCCCCTGCTGGCCGGGACCAGTCACTGCACCACATGTTGTTTCCAATGAAAGTCATTTATTCACATTACAAACAATTATATTTCCATTAACCCAAAGTAATACGTGGAGGGACTAAACGTTGTACTATTACACTAACGGTAATAAAACAAGTACCTGATATTATCTGTCGTTAAACCTTCTTCAGAGGTTTGCTGACGCGTCAAACTGTTCTTGTTCAGAACAAACCGGATTATGTGAAATTATATTTGATGTAACTGAACATTTGATAAGATTTGAAGTTAAAATTGTCTCAAAAAGAATTACGTTACGTTCATATCTTACTTATTTTTGTCATTACAAACAAGGACAAGTTATCATGCAGAGACATTAGTCTTATATGGGGGGACAGATGACCTTTTTATAAAATGTCTTCTTGAACACTGTGACACATAAAGATTAAGATTAAACTCTAATTAGGACCAAACATCTAAATGATGATCTACTGATTCATCCACAGAGCTCAGCAACATTCAAACACACCTCGCTGAGCTCCTTCAGACCACAAGTCCCAGAGAGCTGTGGACCCCCAGAGTCCAGACCAGCTCAGGTACCCCTCACCTGCTCCACCTGCATCTACACCCACATGAACCACCATCAGCTGCACAGACTGAACTATGTTGTGAGCAGAGAGGAAGGTTCTCCACCAGGAGGAGACTCTCCCTCCTGTAGAGAACACAGAGACACTGAGGAACCAGAACTGGACCAGAACCCAAACCCAGGATAAAGAGGTTCAGTGAATGTGGTGTTGAAGGTGTGGAGGTGGATCAGTGTGTCAGAGGAGACTCTGTAGAAGGACAGAGAGCCAGCAGGACAGTCCACATACACTGCTATTCTACCAGAGGAGGAGGAGGAGGTGATGTGTGTTCTTGTCTTATTGTGATAGACATAGTAACCTTTGTCAGAGCAGATCAGACTCCAGGAATGATCATTCTCTCCAAACCAACAGTCATCACTGTTTCCTTTCCTCCTGATTCCTCTGTAACTCACTGATACATCAACTCCTCCTCTCCACTCGACCTCCCAGTAACAGCGACCAGTCAGACCAGTTCTACACAGCAGCTGATAACAGGAGTCAAATCTGTCTGGATGATCAGGATGTGACTGATCCTCCTCCACACGTGTCACCTTCCTGTTGTTGTCAGACAGTTTGAGGTGTTTGTTTACTGTGTTTGTGTCGATTGTGAGTTCACAGGAATCTGATGAGAGAACAAGACACAATACAGCTGCAGTTATTAATCATGTGATCATCTACTGACACGTTGATGATGACGTCACAGAGGTGAATGAGTGATGTCACAGTGTGAAGATGGTTGAATCTTCATGAATCAAAGCTCACTTACACTTCCTCAGACCTGGTCTCAGCCATCGGACTCCATCAGGCTCCACCCTGAAAGGAGGAGGGGGGTCAGAGCAGCATGGAGACATGGACATTACATCACACACAGCTTTGTCCTTCATGTCCACATGGACCACCTCTTCTTCTTCTGATTGGCTGATGACCACAGCTCATCGTCTATTATCATCAGCATCATTCTGACCACCATCTTCATTTCACTCAGTTTCCTTCAGCAGTCAGTGAATCAAATGTTTAAACCTCATCAGGTGGTTTCTTTGTCCACTTGTGGTTCAGTGACAACAAGCTGTGAACACGACATGTGACATGTGACCATCTTCTGAAGTAGTTCTGTCTCACATGGAGCTTCAGTTCAGGAAGGAAGCCTCCCTT